AAACGATAGGGGGTTTTAATCGTCGCTCATATTTGAGAGGGGTTAAAAAAATCCCAATGGATAAAACTCACATTATAGTTACTATGTATATTGGGAACTATTAATTATAAAATCTATTTGTTAGCATTATTTAAGCAACACATAAATTATTTTATATCCTTTTAGATAGAAGACGAATATCTAAAAATTTATTTTAATTTTTTTCAAAAATATTATGTTCCTTGATTCTCTTATATTCCCTTATTTATTGTGACCCTCAACCTATAATCTTTTACTTTGCTTAAGACCCCAAAATATAGAAAGGCCCAAATTTTGTGTAAAATTAATATTTTCTCGTATATGTTGATGTTGATGAGTTTAAGGGTAAAATTCAACAATACACAAAAAGTTGGACTTCTTATGCCGGTTTATGAGACTCATATGGAAGGTCCATTACATAAACCTAGATTCGAATCCACCTCTACCATTAACGGTGTAAGATATGAAGATGTATTTGAAATGTAAAGTATACATATTAGCATTTATATAAGTAAAAAAATATGCATTTAAACGTTTATATAATTTGTTAGTATACACAAACATACCAACGTACATACTTACAAACTTTTTAACATATCTACATAAATATACAAGTACACATACCTTAATACATATGTAGATATGTATGCATAGCTACATACAATCTTATTTATATATGCATAATCATACATATATTCCTATATTTATATCAATATAACTAAAGTTTATTGAGAAAATAAGTAAAATAACCTGTTATGCCCTTCCGCCGTTACATTTTTGTTCAAGGAGTTCGATTTTAGGTGGGAATATGTAGTTTAGGCATATTTGGCTCTTTATATGTATAAATGATCGTTTAATACTAAAAGGAATTTATCCGACATCCAAAGTCAACTGGTGTCAAGTCAAAAGGAGTATTTTTGTATAATTTATTATACACTAACTTATATTTATAGTTTTAATAAGCGATAAATTTTTTAATTTCAATTTCGACATGTAATTTACTATCATTAATCTGTAATTGGAACACGTAAAGCCCAAAAAAAAAATATACCTCTGTCTTCATTCTTCTGCCCGTACGAATAAGCCTCACCTGATCACCTTTCTAATTTTCTATACTCCCCATGCTTGACGTGTCAGTTTAGTAGAGCGCATTATAAATCACTCTCATGCACCTGCCAGTATATGAATACTAGAGAATAATTGACAAGTGCCCCTCGTTTAAAAGACTCAATGTAAAATAATTTTCAATAATACTATACTTCTAAAGAAATCTTACAAAGATTTACATACAAAGTGAGGTGACAAAAAATAAATAAAATAGTGAAACAAAAAATCAAACTCATTAAATTCACTATTCCATTCATTTTTTACCACATCACTTTGTACGGAGATCTTTGTAAAATTTCTTTGTAAGTGTAGTATTACTCAATAATTTTATACCACAAATATAGATAGTTGAGATTTTTATTTATAGAAAGGTTATATATTTTTATTCATTCTTTTACTTTTAATTATTGCTCATTTTTATCATTAAAAAAATCATAAATTTTTCATTATCATTATTTAATAATATGTACTTGTTGAATTGAAAAATGTGTTATAGTTGAGGGTATAAAGGCATTTGCACAAAAAATCTTGGGAGAGTTAGGTTACTTTATGAAATATTTGGGAGTTTGGTATTTTTGTTAAACTTGAAGGAGGTATTTGATATTCACTCTTTTCTCTCTTGTAATTGAACACACCGAACATAGTTACTTAGCATGAGAAAGAAGCTCACTTAGCATGAGAGATAAGCTCCATAACTGATCATAGGGATCTCACACTCAAGACTTATTACTGCTTGATTCCCTCGTCACAGTTCAACCACTCTAAGTATATATATATATATATATATATATATGCTTAACATAATATAATCAATCATTTTATATATTGAATATTCATGATCCAAATAGCCAGCATACAACAATATGATCGACTTAGTGGCACCTACTCTAACACTTTCCAGTAGGCACACTAACACTTTCCAGTAGGCTATTGGATGTGTTTTTTCATATTTTCTACTTGTTTTGACCATTGTTATGTTGGAATTAACTATTATTAATTTGTCTCCCTGTTTTGGATTTCTTCTTTCCTATGGGAGAAAAACATAATATTGGATAAATGTGGGTCAATATTGTAATTAGGTTAAAACATATGAGTGTGTGCATGCAGACATATGGTAATGCTAGAGAAGAGTCTGTGTGTTGTTAGTTTGATGTCAAACAACATTATTATAGAGGCGTCTAGGGAAGCTTTGATGGTCGATTCATTAAAAAACTTGTGTGTGACACAGTTGCTAGAGTTTGTAAACCATATAAATTACACAAATCAAATGATAATTTCATATATCATACTTTGATCCCTCTCCATTTTCATTTTCAGGAACCTACATGCATCACACAAGTAGTTGTTTGTTTGAGATTTTTCTTGAATTATTTCCCAAGAACCAGACAGAGCTCATAGTCTTAGTAGCTAACTATTAAAGAGCCCTTCTTGAACATTGTAATGTATTCTTTATCCTTATTTAATGGTTATTTTGCTTCTAGCAAATTTAAGAGAAAGAATTAAAGAGCACAAGTAGTTCTTTTGTTCTATCTTAAGCTGACATGTCAGTATAGTAGAGCACGTTATAAATCACTCTCATGCACCTGTGAGCAATGTTTTGAAAACCGACTCGGTCAAGAAGCTAGGTCCTGGGTTAGATGGTCCAACCAGTTTGACGGTAGGTCGGAGCGATGATAGTTTATCATTATTTACTATTCCCCATCGCTTTGTTTCCACTGTATAGATGTAAATTAAAGTCACCCTTACCCAGCGCTCACCTACACCCAATAACTTTCTCTTCTAGAATCTAGACTTCTACTTCACCCAACCTAATAAATTTAATTTCATTTAATTTTCTTATTTTTGACATTAATTATAAATTTTAACATGAATAAATATTTAGTAACTTGTTTGCAAACACTCTACCCCTACGCTTCTTCTCTCTACCATTTCTCTCTTTACCTTCTTTCTTTCCTCTCTCTCTCTCTCTCTCTCTTTCTCCCTTAACCTGAAATAGAGGAAGCGGAATCACTAGAGAAGTTTTAATGTCCACCTATGGACCACCTCTTCTTAAAACTTTTTCTTTCTTCTTTCTTTCAAGTTTTCAATTTTGTTTATTATTTTTTTCTCTACGCCCAGTTGTTGTTTTCCTTTTTCTAAGCTAATTATCAAAGTTACATTGTAAATTCATCTTCTGTGGTTTAGTTGCTTTTGTTTCTCAGATCTAATAGCATTATGAACTCTTGTTTTCTTTTTCGGTTATTGTACAACTCTTAGATTTGTTTGTTTATTTGAGTATCTAGAAAAAAAAAAAAAACAGCAGGGATTTTAATTTTGTGACCGGGTTTACTCACTAAGTTGGTTGAACCGACGGTTCGATACTGTTTTGCTAGTTCAAAGTCGATCAATCCGGATCAAACATTAGAAGCGTGTTTAAGAGGTTCTTGGATCGGAGAAGGGACCGGTCAACCGTCGAACCGGTTGGATTAGCTTGTCTGGTTCGAGTTTCAAAAAAATGCCTGCGGGTACAGGAATACTAGAGAATATCAAAGAAGACAATGAATTTGTCATTTGTAGAAAAACTTGAAGGGAACTTATATAGTATTGTTGGAAAACGATGAGTAGATTTGTTTCCTAAGTGAATAACAAAACTAACAACACACCCCAACGTTTCCCAATTTTTTAGAAATGTTAAGAGGAAGAAGTATTAGAAGGGTAAAAATGACAAATCACATTAAAGTTATATCAAAGGTAAGGTAATTGCAACTTAGGTTTTAGTTGCAAAGTATATTTGTGAAACTTCTATCCCTAAGTTGACACGTGTCCCTCATTGTAAAAAAACTTGATGCAAAATAATTTTATACCACAAATAGTAGACCTAGCAAACGGGCAGGTATGGTCCAGGTAGCAATGGGTCGCGGGTCTACGGGTCAAAAATTCTCACGGGTTGACATTTTCACAATCCCCCCTGCCCCCCGTGTGGGTACGAGTCACCTGCGAGTCACCCATGAAAAATGCAGCAGTCTTTTAAATTTTCCATATTTTTCACTGTTTTTCTATATTTTTGTTATTTGTTACTTTTTTTAATTCAAAAATTCAAATTGCATACTAAATTATATTAATTTAAAAACTTGATATAAAATTCATTTATTAAACTTATTAGTTATTAACTTATTATATTAAATAAATGGATGATTAAATTAAATTTGAGTAATAAGTTTTTTATTAAAATTTTTTTTTTATTTCAAATTTGCAGGTCCGCAGTTAGTACCTGGTCTACCCGCAAAAGTCACGAGCGGGTCAAGTATGGGTTAGATTCTCACGGGTCAAGGTGTATGTTACTTGTACCCATCCCCATCCGTTGGGTACGGATACCCGTTGACCCACGGGTACACCCATCCGTTTGCCAAGTCTAACAAATAGACCTGGTAAAGAGGTACACGTACCCGCATCAAATGAACTGGTATGGGTATTCCTAAAATTTACTCGTGAAAAAAATGGATGGGTCGGGTAATGCCCGCGGGTACCTGTATTTTATTTAAAAAATATTAAAAAATTAAAACCCTAAAATCATTTTCCCAATCTCTCTCACACACAGATTGACGCCACATTTCTCTCAATCTCTTCCCCCAATCAGACAAAGAAGAATTGGAATGGTGAAGACGGAAGAAAAAGAAGAAATATGAAAAAGTGGAGAGGGAGAAAAAGACGAAGAAGAATTGGAGAGAGGGAGAAGAAGAAGATGAATTGAAGAAGAAAAAATATGCAGTGGGCAGGGAGAAAAAGACAAGAAGAATTGGAGAGAGAGGGAAGAAGAAGGTGAAGATGAAGGAGAAATAACTAGAGCAAAAACTTAAAAATAAAAAAATTGGAGAGGAAAAATTTTAAAAAGCAAAATAAACGGGTGACCCATGGGTTGACCTGTACCGGTACGGGTCTTGCATTCTTAGCCCATAGACCCATGCCCGTTTTACCTGCTACCCGTAACTACCCGGCCCGCCCGTTTGCCAGGTCCAGAAACAGCTCTGCACTGCTTTTTACAGCACCCACCTTAATAAAAACCCTAATTTCCAATCTTCTTTACCGAAGTTATCAATCCTATTCAAATTTAATCCCAAAAGTTAAATCTTTTCATTCATTTTCAAGTGATGGAGAATCTGATTACTGAAGTTCAAGTGGAAGTGGCGGGCGGGTATTCGGATCCTGGAGCCGGATCCTTTTCTGGGTTCCAAAGAATGATCGAGTTTCACCCGGCTGGAAAAGTCTTTAGTGGGCTTAGTAATGGTGGTGAGAATGGGGATTTTAAATTGGAGACGCTGAATCCAAGTGGGTCGGAGCAGAAGAAAGCTGGTAAACGTTAGGGACAGGGTCCGAGTGGTGGGTCAGGGAAGAAAGTTGATGGGTCGGAGTTTTGGGATTGTGGGTTGGATCCTGAGCTGAGTTTTGGGATGACTTTTCGGAGAATTGTGAGTGTGTTTAGTTTGTAAAGATTGTGCTTTATTTTTTTTTTATTTTTTTTTTAATAATTCTATGGCTTTGAATGAGTTTTTTCTGTATTAATAATTTGTTGGAATTCGACCGTTTCGTTGAAGTTTGATTTAGTTATGTTGAAGGGCAATTGTTATGTTACAGGGAGTGAAATCCCGGTATGGTAACAGTAATTTATGAGTTTTTGTTAGTTTCATGATTTTATTTGAGGGGAATTGCTATGTTCCTGGGAGTAGAATTGTAGTATAGTTACTGGAATTAACGGTTTTGGTAGTCCATGTGTCTTAACAAATGCGCAATGAAACTAATCATGAAATACTGATCATACATGCTATTTTTTGTTATTTTGGATTGCAGTGGTGCTGCCATAGTTTAAGATATGTTAAATTGTGGCTATCAGTTATTGATTTCAGCTCAAAGACTTGGTCATTAGTTGAATTTGGTATTTCGAATAAATTTGGTGTCAATTTTTTCAATGGCAAATGTATGACGCTTTTTAGGTAATAGCTGTGATGAACTTGGTTTTGTGTTTAACCTAAACTTATCTATAATGATATTTATGACTTACAGGGTGCTGGTCTTGAAAATCTTGGAAATACTTGTTTTCTCAATTCCATGTTGCAGTGTCTGACATATGCAGAGCCTTTAGCGGTATACTTGCAGAGTGGCAAGCATCAAAATTCTTGTAAGTGGCTTCTCAATCCTTTCTTTTTTTGGTTTTTACCTCCATGAACACAATAATATAGGCATGTAGATTTCTGAATCAATTCATTTGTCTAGCTGTACTTTTATTTCTTGTGATATCAATCTATCATGGATATGTAGTTGCTTCATTGAAAATAAAGTTCATAAGACTTCCATAGTTGTTTCTGAAGGTTTTGCGGTTTATGTACTGTCACTATGAGTGGGATTTAATTTTTAGATACAGGTAATTAGGATAATGGCTGGTTGAGATAAGCACATTGAATAAGTCGCCACTTTCAATGGAGGTTTAAAGGTTTTTTTTAATCCATTCTACTCACTACAAATTAGGATGATCCTTGCATAGTATATTTGAGCAGTATGGAGTTGTGTAGCTAGCCAAAGAAAATCTATGGTTTATAGAGTTCTTGTGTTAAAATATATAAGCATGATGATGATACCTTTTCTTAATCCCTTGCTATGTTTTTGAATTTTCATGTAAGCATGCATGATATTGATCTTAAAATGACTTACTTAGTAGGTCTTTCTCCTTCCTAGCACGCAAGAAGAGTATTTGAAAAAGAAGAGATGAAAATATCCATTGCTTGGGCTTTCCATTTATGACCATAAAAAGATCTATTCTTTTATGATGTTTCTAGATTTTTATACTTTTGTTTTATTATTAGTATTTTCTTTTGGCTGTGTGCGCCCCATTTTTATTGAAGTTCTCACTACAACAAAATACACATATAGCTACGAACATTAGTTACGAAAAGAAAAATTATAGCAAATACATATTTATAGTTAGAAAAGTCAATATTTGTAGCTAATTGAAATAATTTTAGTGATAAGAATTTCTCCCTCGAAGCTAATATTCATATATTGCTTTAACTTATTAAAATTGTGGCAATAGCTATTCATTTAGCTACTATATATTAGCTATGGTAAAACATTGTAGCTAATTAATGTATGTAGCTATAAATATTTCATTTACATGGCATATAGTATCATTATTTGCTATGAGTTTTAACTATATAGCTATTATTTGTGCATTAGTTATAAAATATTGAGATTTGTAGCTAATTAATATATTTAGCTATAAACATTTTATGTACGTGGCATATAGTATCATTATTAGCTACGAGTTTAATTATATAGCTATTATTTTTACATTAGTTATAAAATATTAAAATTTGTAGCTCATTAAGGTATCTAGCTATACAAATTTTATTTTCATGGTAGTGACAATATCTTAGTATCATTGTTAGCTACTAGTTTCAATATATAGCTAATATGTGTGTATTAGCTATAAATTATTTGAATTTGTAGCAAATAAAGAATGTGAAAATTAATTTGCTACAATCCTTATAGTATGCAGCTATAGATATTCTAATTTATCTTGTAAGTAATTATATTTTTATTACTTATGAATTAAATAGTTATAGTCAAATATAGTGTTAATCACACCACTAAGGTCAATAGTAAATGGAACCTTAAACCAATAGCTAACTTAAAAGAACTCTTCAGCGAGCTAAGAGTGTGAGCTTTTGTAAAATAAAAATTGTATTTTAAAGGATCTCTAAGGTTTTTGTCTTTTCTATGATGATTTAAAACTAACACTTTATAAAATGTAAGTGATTTTAGGTATGAGATATGAGATATTATAAAAATTGATAATGTTACATATTTTTATATATGAACTTGTATGTATATTTTAGATGACGATGATGACAGCGTTAATAAAACTATTTAAATTATTTATACGTTTAATAAAAAGAATATTTGGTTGTATGGAAGATAAGTTTTATATAAAACTTGTTGTATATATCAAAATAACCAAAACCACCATTAATATATTTATCAAAACCTGTCTCACTTCACAAAGTATTAATATGAAAAGCAAATTAAAAAATTGTATAACCATAAAACTTTATAAAATTGAAAGCATAATTTGTAAAATAAAGGGATTGAACTCAAGTCATACAATCATTTAAACAATAAAAACTGTATCAAAAATCTCGAATCTGTCAAACAAATATAATATGAAAGATTAAAAAAAATGTAACAAACAATCTAATAATCTATATGAGCAAATCTTTATCATCAATGTCTTCAGCATCTCTCTCTTCATCAACACTATGATCATCATCAACAATCGCACTACTAGAAGCAGATATCTCATGTCTCTTCCAATTGATTAAGTCGCCATCATCTTCAAACATATTTGTAATTTGATAATCTATTTTAGAGTTGTCTTGTTGGAAAGCTTCTTCATCAATAGATGATTTTTCACCACATGGTAGGTCATAAAAGCTATCTGGACGACCTTTTAAAACAACAAGCTAATTAGGATTGGAACCATCATTAACATAGAATATTTGTTGTGCTTGAGATGCAAGTACAAATGGTTCATCCGTATATAATTTTCGAGCTGTATTAACACTAACAAAACCATACTTATTGTTCTTCACACCTCTTCCAATCACATGAACATCCTACCAATCACATTTAAATAGCACAATCCGTTAATTAATGATCTTTTGATGTTGTTGTCTCCAGTAATTGGTGTCTCATGTTAATTAACTGTGCATGTATGTATGCTGTGTGTGCATCACAAATGACAGATGAATTGCATAATGTAGCTTTCGTGATTGCTAATGTGTATCCCACATATTTTTTGCAAGCTAGATAAGTTTTATAGGTGTAGTTCTGTATTATTCTGTTCATCAATTAATTTCCAACCAAAAGTTATTTTAGAAGCCTGCTTTCTCAAAACAAGCTGATGAAGATGAGCAAAGTGGATCGACATTTAATTTAATGATGGAACTATAAACTATTTCAGAAGTTGGCTAGATTATTACAGGCTTTTGCAATAACAAACCCGGTGATCTTGAGATAGTTTCAAAGTCCAGGAAATTTGGCAGAAATTTCACCGGTGATTCTAGCTGAAGCTTTTGAAAGCATTACAAGCCGAGAGTCTGCATGAAGTCTGGATAAAAAATAAGACCAGATGTATGATAATAAATGCAGGAGATACTAATTTTTTTTAATTATTATTTTTAATCAAATGAACTATGAATGATGTGGTATATTTCCAGTCGAAAAAATAAGACTTTGTCATATAGGTGTAGACTGCCATACAACTTGAAACACTCATTGAATCCACAGGATATGAATCAAAAGGATTTACTTGTGTGAGATTAATTAATTGAATCCTAAAGAAGCTGTAGTCTGGACTCTTTCACTTTCCCTGGTATCATAATTCCTCTTAAATTTATATTTTTATATGAAGAAAGAGATGCGTTCTGGAAAATCCAGTTAAAATTGGAATAAAAAGTAATGGCTGCTGGCCAAGTACGAGCTTGATTTAATTTGAGATGCTTGCAAATAGCTCTGTCATGTGTTCAAGAAGATGTAGTTGATGGACCATACATGTTGAAAGTTTCTGCAATCCTCAAAATTGAAAGCACAGATCAAAAGAACCCGAAGAAGCCTGTTTTCTGTGTACTAAGTTAGGATGAACAACATAAATCAGCACACGGCGTTCGGTTAATTGTGTAACAGTTTCACAAGTGGTAACTACATGACTGGAAACTTTTTCAGCTGATCAATTTGTAGCGTTTCTTTGTGAAAGTTCAAGTCTGGATTTTAGAAAGTCAAGACATCCAAATAGAAAGACTAACTGTATATATATATATATATTTCCAAATTTCTGGACTATTATTTTTGAGTTAGGATTCTTTTCTGATCTGAGCTCACTTGAGCTTTCAAGGATCTCATGAAACTTTTCCATTCTTACTTATTTATGGTTCAAATCTATTTTTGTAGTATATTCCTATTCTGTAACTACCAATCACAAACCTTTGGAAGCTTGAATATGAGCTCATATCATGAGAGGATCCGGGTCCATTTTTTTAATCAATTGGCACTGTTTAAAATTTGTCCTGTTTTGGCTTCTCATGAACGGAACTTGGAACCATTGTGTCAGAAAATTACCAAATAATGATGGGTTGTTAAACTGATGGTTGCAAGCTCAACATAATGTTTAACCAAACTTGCTGTAAACTAAAAGAAACAAAGATTGATTTCTATTGATAATAAGCTTGGACAGGGTGGAAGTATAGGGCCCTGTTTACAGGGTACATATTTTTTTAGTCTTCAGATGAAAATATAGGGAAGTAATGTTCAAGTCATATATGGCGAAATCTCTATGGTGAATTACTTGACAAGGGGAATAAGAAGAAGAGGCTACTTGTTATCAAGTCTCTTATGATGTTAGATAACATAGTAATTCTATTTTTCTAGCTGAGGTGGTGTAGATGCAAAAATCTACTTGTACGAAAAGGGGGACTGATCCCGTGAGGTTGAGGTCACTAGTGATCTACTGCGCCTGCACACGTAAGGAAACAAACGTGAAGCAGATGAAAAACACCGGGGTGATGTTTGCCATAGGCACTCCGACACTCAAGTCAGCAAAGCTGAATGAGACTAGTTTAGTGATGGTTATGGAAAAGAAAGGTTATCGAAGGTCTAGTCGGGGACTGTGACTACGACTGTAATACAAAGTTCTCAAGTGGGAACTCCAAGGTCTGAAGGTGAAATATCTTCGTCCCTTGTGAGAGGGCTGACCTCTGTTTAAATAGTGACTGCAGGGTTTTTGAATCTCGGTGGGACTGGGAGTCCTTGCAGCGGGGGTTTTCTAAAAGAGTGGAGCTTTTGGCTCCCTTATCTCAGTGGGAAAGGGAGTCCTAGTGTGCCTAGGATACGAACCTTAGACGAATTAGGATAGTGATTGACTTCCTTAGTAGAGTTCAAGTAGCATTGTAGTTCGTAGGCGACTATGGGCTCCAAGTTGATCGTAAGTCCAGAAGGTGTTCTAGGATCAGAAGGCTTGGGTCCAGATGGTGAGGAACTGGGAAAGCATACCGAACGGGTCTCATTTGCAGAACTCTAATTTGGGTCCCATCGGAATTGGGCCTGAGCTTTCAGCTTTGTTGAAGGTGTCCTAGTCTTTGGGTCGAGGACATTTTTTGGCCCTAACAGGTGGTTATAAATAATTTTTCTGTTCAGGAGAATAATAGAAATCGACAAAATATTAAATTATTAAGGAGCTTTAAGAATGATTATTTGAAACTATGCCTTAGTGTCATTTAAGTGTTTGAAATCTAAAATTTACTGATTCAGCTCTCAGTCTATGATTCTCCGTTTAGGTACATTCAAACACTTCAAACTAGTAAAACGACGCCTATCGCCAGTATAGATTCACATATAAAACTGTAGCAATTTCTAAGAGTGTGATTATATAGGACACAATAAAACTGATATAGAAGATACCCATGTCAATAAAACTACAATCTACACCATTCTTAGTTGAAGCTCTTGGCATCGATTATGGTGATTCATTTCCTTAACTGTTTTCCTTTTTTTTTTTTTTTTTTTCCGTGTAGTGGCCATCCAAAAAGAAGATAATTTCCTTCATAACTACTTTTCCCAAAAGTTATAAATTGTGCAGTTTGCCCAAGGGTCTTGCTAAATAAGTTATTGTATGCCACGTTGAAGGCAGACAAAGAATTTAGCTCAAGAAGCTCAGGAGGGATCTTTCCATTTAAGTTGTTATAAGAAAGATCTAAGCTTTGAATTTTCTTAAGGTTTGAAAATGTCTTTGGGATGGACCTTGTCAATTTGTTGTGAGATAAATTGAGTGTAACAATTCTGGTAAGATTACCAATTTGAGGAATTTTACCTGTTAGATTGTTGCAAGATAGATCAATTACATATATCAATGTGAGGTTTACTGCTTTGTAAGTGTAGGACATATTCTTTCATGAGACATCTATTGTTTCCTCCTTTTTCATAGAAGGCCCTTCTTCAATCGGAGTAGGACCATCAGACGAAGCTATGTTCTGGAAAGTATTAGAACTTGGAGCTATATTCTGGAAAGTATCAAAGCTTGCAGCTACAACATCCTCATCTTTCCCAAGGAGTGCAGTGAGTTCAAAACACAAGAGGAATTTGACCATAAAGACCATTATAAGAAAGATCAATCAAGCGTAATTGGCGTAGCCGACACAATTGAACTGGCACATCACCTTCAGAACTATTATTAGTTAAGATCAAGTAGTTTAATTGAGAAAGTTTGCCAATCCAATTTGGGATGGTACCGTTGAATTGGTTATGGCTAAGATCCAATGTCACCAAGGAAGAACTCTTGGTAAATGCATCTGTTAATTGTCCTTGTAAGATATTTCTAGACAAGTGAACTTTTTTATTTCTTATGGGGCTGAAACAAGATGGTAAATCCCTCGAGATACTATTATTTTATAAAGTCCAAAACTTCAGGATAATCCAATGGACAAAACTCATCAGGAATTGGGCCTTCAAGATAATTATTGGTCATCATAAGATCCAACAATGATGTTAGATTCCCCAACCATCTTGGGATCCTACCAGAGAGACGGTTATCAGCGAGATACAATCCCTGTAAAACTAAGCAGTTGGACAAGCTTTACGGAATCTCTCCAGTGAGTTGATTAGCATATGTTATGGAATCAACAGTTTCCAGTTCATGACAGAGCACTTTATTCTTTCCAGTTTCCAGTTTCCAGATTCATATTCAAGCTTCTAGTTTTCAAAATATTCACTGCTCAACGGTTCTCTGCAACAGTTTGTTTTTTAAAAAATGTTTACTGCGCAACGGTTCGATTAACACTTTCCGTTAAGTGGCGTTAAATTCTTTTAGTTGAAAGCGGCCGTTTCAGATCAAAGTTGTGGGGTTTTTAACTTTCTACTATGCGTTTTGAATTTAGTTGAAGTGCTGCGTTTTGTAATATAAAGCTGAAAAAGAAGAAAGTGCAGAAACCCAACTGTAGCCGTTCAATTGACTGATGCTGATGAAGTGTGTTATGTTTACCTGGCGAATTGACACGGATTGCCAGAGTGTATAAAATAGACTGTAATCAGTTTAGAACTTTAATCCAAAATCAATAAAATGTCAAGTTTCCAGAAAATTTCTCTATTCTTCAAGTTCTGCATTTTCTTTCAGTTTTCCGTTAGTTTCTTTGGAAATTTTTACTGGTTATCTCTTTAATTGGTCTTAGGATTCTCACAATCTTTCCAACCAGGAGATATTGCCAATCGAAGAAGGAAATGGACCATCAAGAGAATTCGGATCCTAGAGCCGGATCATTTTCTGGGTTTCAAAGGAGGATCAAGTTTCACCCGACTGGAAAAGCCTTTACTGGACTTAGTAACGGTGGTGATAGTGGAGATTTTAAATTGAAGAGGAAAATAATGCAGCCACCGAGAGTAGTGCATCGAATGACGTGACAAAATCCTGACCGTTGGTTAATATTAAGTTATAATTAATTGGCGGTCAGGATTTTGTCACGTTATTTGGTGCACAGATTCGATGCACTACTTTCGGTGACGATAGCATTACTCATTGGAGAAATATATGAAAAAATCTCCATCTTTGACCCAACTTATCAAATAACAGCTCACTATTTTATATTCTGTGAATCTTGTTGAAACAATGCTATTAGACATGAAGAACGCATCAAGAAATTATAGATATTGAGTACAAAGTTTTATATTTATTATTTTATTCAAAATTTAAAATCCTCTTAATAAATTTCCAAGAAACAGCATGCACACACTCATGGAGACAATCAATTTTGTGATGAAAATTCAACTTCTGGTTGTTTAAAGATATAAAGTCGTTAAATTTCTGAAGTTTATAATAAAAGTTTTCATAAAATTAACTCATTCTCTCATGTATAAACAAATTATGTATTGCATTTTACAATTAATGTGTTGAAAAGAAATTAAATTTGTTAATTTTAAAACGTTGCTCTCGCTCTAAAGTCAAGGAATAACACATAAAATAATTTCTATCGTTAATGACATAATCCTGACATATTAGATTTTTTCCGACACAGACGTGTTCAAGTCTAAGAGAAGGATAGTAGTTGTTTATAGAAATCAGTTTATATCATAAATGACTTCGTTTCATAGTTTTAACCAAGTACTCTACGTCAATACAGTTGGAAAACTAGCTAACGTAAATTCACAGGTTGATTATTTTTTTATTATTATTTTTTTTTTGTTCAAGTTTTCAGAATGCCGTCAATTAATTTCTTGAAAAAAGTTCACATTCACATGCAAAAATCAGTGCCCAATTCAAGGAATTGCTATATCAAGATGGGTCAACAGAAAAACAA